CGGCATTCTGAACTAGAATAGAAAAAAAAAAAAACAGAAAATTGTTCTAATTAATTTCTATCAATAGATATATACTTGATTGATTCAGTAAAATAGCCATGTGAACGACCTAAATATAAATATAAAATAATTTTCAATTTACTTATATTTTTGTTTTTAAACTTACCATGTGAACATGATGTTTGTTCATAAATAGCTATTAAATAAAATTATATTTATTTTAAATATTTTTCAATTATTTTACCTTCACTATGACCATGAATTACATTACCAAGAAGTGAAAGCCTTTTGAAAAAATAAAATAATATTAATATTGAAAGAAGAACAAAAAAAAAAAAAGTTCCTTCTTCAATAAATATTTACACTGAAGGACAACCTGGTTGATGTTGACCACCATTAGCATAAAAATCTACATGTCCTGATGATTGACTTGATCCAAGACCAACTCCAAAAGCAATATCTGTATTTGTATGAATAACATCAACAAATTTTGCATCATTTTTATCAAGACGAACAAGTACATCTTTTCCTTCAAATAATGGACCAGCTGGATCAAGACCAGAAATACGAGCCATTTGATTATCAATTATATTTGATGCTAAAGAACATGTATGTGCACCAAGACTATGTCCTAATAAAAATATAAAAACAATAATAATTAATATTTCTTTTCTTGATATTAACGAACCAATACAATGAATTTTATCATATGAAAATCCTTTCATATTATGTAATTTTTGTAAAAGTAAACCAATTTGTTTACCAACAAGACGTGTATTTGAAGCAGCATTTGTATATAATGGAAATTTAGCACCATGACCCCAATCAACAACAAGTACATCTGATAATTCATTCTAATTATATTCATAAGAAATAATTTCAAAAACTAGAAAGAAAAACTAAAACTAAAACTAATTTTTACATCTTTTAATTTTAATAATTCATCTTGAAGTGGTTTTATCCAAATACTATTTCGATTATTTGTAAAACCATGAACAATAATTCTTAACCATCGAGAAGAATTAAGATTTGATTCTATAATTGATTGATCATTACTATCATAGACAAGAAATTCTGGTGTTGAAGGAGCTTCTTGTGTAAATAAAAGAAATTGTGTACTAATATGTTCAGGTGATTGAGGTACTTCTAAACCAGCATTATTATATGGTTCATTATTATCAAAACAACCAACAACTGGATAACACACTGAAGTATTAGTTTTATTTGCTGTTACTGGCGATATGTTAGCTCGATTTATTGTTGAAAATTGAGGAAGGATAGGTACATTATTAGTTGATATAACATCGATAGTAAGTGGTTCATTAACAATAGACTCTGATTGAATAAGTCGACCATTGACGAATATAATGCAAAGTGCAATAAGCAAAAAATATAAACCTCAATAAACAAAAACACAAGAATCATATAATATATATATATACATGTTACATTTTTCTTCAATATTATAAATCATCTACGATAATAAAATTAAACTCACAAATAGTAGTTATTTTCAATTAAAAATTGAATTCAATTGTTCAAGAGTTAAGTATAATTTCATTTCGTAGTAAGTTAACATATTATTCTATTCAGTATTTGATCGAGATTTTAGACATCCTTTAAAATTTTGAAAGGGCAAAAACATCTAGTTTTGGAAGTACAGACACATAGTTCGTAATACAAAAGCTAACCTGATCTTCCAGTGAGCACTGCTTCATTAATTGTCTCAATGGATAGAATATTTGTTCTATTTATCTAACGATATTTTCTTGAAATTTTACGATAAAGACATCTGTAAATGATAATTATTTTTTTAGAAATAAAACATATTAAAAACCTTTGTCAAAATTATAACAATTATTTTATTATGTAAAAATTTCAAAATAAAAATAATAATTATATTCTTAATTTTAATTTCTAAAATATTTTAATTTTTTATCTTAAAATAAATTATAGTGAAAGATGAAATACAATCTTTTTTCAAATTATAACAAAATAAAATTCAATAATGATTTTCATGTCTTTAATTCACTAATATTTATTCAATTTCACTTCATAAATCTATTCGATTTAGAATAAAGTATTCATTATCTATAATTTACATACCGGTTTCAGAATGCATGATGATGAATGGCGATTAACCGAAAACTAATGTGCATAGTATTAATCGTTAGGTTTAAATTGTTTTTAACTTTAAAACAAAACAAAAATAACATTTGGTTCCATTCTCATGCTATTTTATACAGAATGACTTATCTAGATCGAGCAAATATCTTTTCTCTATTATCACCTGACACGATGATATTTTACTCCATCATAATGACCTAATATGTTTTTTTTTAGATTGAAGACTCTTACAATCAGCAATGCTCTGCCAATGCTACAACCGATTTCATTTGTTTCCTTTAACTCAGTGCCCTTTGGCAATATTAATTGACAGTAGAAAAAAAAAATATATATATATAGAAGTTTAACTTCACTACTTATATAACTCTGAGCGGTGCATCAACAATGATGTACAATTGCGTCAGCTGAAAAATTTGTTTTATACTGCGCTCATGCTGACAAATGTCTATTAATATTTTGAAGTATGATAAATATCAATTATTTTATTCACAGATAAATAAAACAATGCTTCTCAGATCGAAACGAACGTATTTTTCGTTGTATTCACCTTAATTCGAATTATTATCCACAAGAATATTTAATGTTTGCAATATTATCTCATATCTAACCGTCTAACAGTGACATCTTTTCTTATCGGCCATAGACATATATGTTGTGTCTCCATAATGAAACAAACTCTTCAGATCAAGAAATTGCGAATTTACATTATTCAGTTTTTCTTTTGTTGTTTTTTCTCCCCGATATTTGCCTCGTCATATAAATTCGATTGTGAAAGAAGAAAAATTATTCATTACAATTCATAATGTCGTACATGGGTAGTAGTTCTACAAATGAAGATGCCAGTGGAAATATCTGGAGTTCCGGATCCCATGGGGGTAAAGTCGAATACATATTATTTATATAAATTAATAAAACGAAAAAAAAACAACTATATGAATTTTTTTTAGGTTCACGTACAGGTTATTCACATTCAAGCAATTATGACGATAATCGTCCACAGGAAGGGTAGGTTTCATTATATAACATAAGTATTTATTTTTTTGCTACTGATTCATAATACAATTAAAATTATTATTTTTCATTTCTCTTTGAAATAATACGCTTTGATATTGATATATATATATACATATACATGAAACAAATATAAAAAAGAACTGAACATAAATATCTTTTTTGGAACAAACAATTATATAAATTTCTATATTATTTATTCGCATATAAATACAAGTAATTGAATATGATTATAAAAAAAAAAAAAGTAAAGTACGAAATTGATATGATGGGTAAACGTATATAGATATTAAAAAAAAAATAACTTGAGGATATTTTTATCTATACATGATGTTTGATGTTTTTTATTTTTGATTTCTATCTTACTATAGTGGATCTTATCGTGGGTCATTTGGAAATAATAATTCAAGTAAGATATATATCTATATATACCCATTGCATCCACTTTATATTATTAATTTTAAATACAGTAGAAAAAAAAAAGATGTCATATATTAAAAAGAAAAAAAAAAAGAATTAAATTGAATATTTGATGTTGAAAAATATATTTATTCTACTTATTATTAAACATGAATAAAAAAAAAAATCTCTCTCACTCTGTCTCAAGTATACTTTGGGATTTATTTAAGTTTGATAATATTTCATTGAAAAAAACAACATTTTGTTTTTTTTGTAATTATATTAGGACGAGATGGTGGTGGTGGTGGTGGTTATGGATTTCGACGACAAAATAATGATAGAGGAGAAGTTGAAATTCAAACTGATACAATATTTATTCAAGATTTACCGAAAAGTATTACACGAGATCAAATTCTTGATATTTTTTCAACGGTTGGCTCTATTAAAGTAAAATATTATTGGTTTTAGTTTTTTTTTTTTAACTATTCTATTTTGTTTAAGATCGATGACCGATCAGGTGGTCCAAAAATTTGGATTTACAAAGATCGTGATACAGGTGAAGCAAATGGTCGAGCTACAGTAACTTATGAGGATGATGAAACTGCTAATAGAGCTATTTCACAATATAATGGTAAACTTCAATTTATTTGATTTTTATTTCAATGTTTTTTCGATTTTGTTTATTATTCAATAGATCAACATATTGACTCAATAGGTACAGCTGTACGTGTGCAATTAGCACAACGTCGTAATCGAAATAACAATGATCGTGGTGGTCGAGGTGGTGGTATGTATTCATTTTTTTTTCGCTTCTCATGTATATTTTAATGAAATTTTTTAAAAATATAAGGCTACCGTGGTGCACGAAGTAATTGGAATGATAATAGTTCTCGTCAAAATTATGGTTCAGGTGGTGATCGATGGGCTAGCTCAGGAAAAGGATTTTCCAATGATCGTAGTAGTGGTAGTGGTAGTGGTGGTGGTGGTGGTTTTCGTAGTAAGTTATTACCATGAAAAAAATTTAGAATAAAAAAAAAAAACTAATGTTATGAATAGGTATGGGTGGCGGCAGTAGTTCATTTCAAGATGCAGATGATCGTGGTAGGTTGATAATTGAATATGTTAGAATCATTAATTTTGTTTTCTTTCAGGCAGTTCATATCGTGGTAGTCGTAATGGTTCATATCGCGGTGCTAGTCGCGGTAGTGGTGGTTCATCAAGTTATTCACCATATTAAAAACAACAAACGAAAACACTCATATGAAGACATAAAAAAAAAATAAACAATATATTCTCTTGTATTATTTCTATGCTCTTATGCGTATCATACTGTCTTCTTTTGCATAGAATCCTATTCATATTTGTTGTTGTTTTTTCATTTATTCATAACTATTACAGACAAAAATAAAAAGCCAGCCTCAAGTTCTTAATATAAAAAAAATGTCTATTTGATTAATGATATGTTATTTATTTGCTTGTGCTAAACGATAATAATATCCTTTGAGAGTTAATAATTCATCATGTTTGCCAGATTCAACTATATGACCACGACGAAGAACACAAATACGATCAGAATTTTGTATTGTTGATAAACGATGAGCTATAACAATAGTTGTACGACCTTTTGATATTTGATCAAGTGCTTCTTGTACTATACGTTCATTTTCTGTATCAAGTGCACTCTAAATCAAATTAGAAATCAATCGAGATGTATATATATATATATATGAATATGTAGTGATTACTTACTGTTGCTTCATCAAGTAATAATACTTTTGGATTACGTATAAGTGCTCGAGCAATCGCTAAAACAAACATAAAATACAAATTTTATTTTTGTAAAAAAGTTTGATTTTGTTTTTTTTGTTACCAATTCGTTGTTTTTGACCACCTGATAATTGTGTACCTTTTGAACCAACATTTGTTTCATATTGTTGTGGTAGACTTATAATAAAATCATGAATATTAGCATTTTTCGCTGCTTCTTGAATTTCATCGAAAGGTACTTCTCTTGATGTATCACCATAAGCAATATTTTCTTTAATTGTTGCATCAAATAAAATTGGTTCCTGACTAACAAAACCAATTTGACTTCTCCACCATTGAAGATTTAAAGTTGATAATTCATTTTCATTAATTAACTAAAATATATTTTTGTTTTGTTTTATAATTAATATTTAGAATAACAATTCTAGAAGTACTTAAATAGACGAATGTAGTTAACTGTGATATTAAGAATGAATGTCTCAATAATATTCATTTACAAAACTATTTAATCCTTCTATTATGAGATTCGTATATTGAGGGACTAACCTTTCATGTAGATTATTACTTTGACTATGTTGTCTTTTTGTTTGACCATAGAGTATTCTCTCTTTTGCTTTTGCTTTTAGTATAGCAAGAACATTATATGATATTAGTCTACATGTATATCTAGTGAAGAAAAAAAAAGGAATGTGAATTTAAAAATCTATGAGAATCCACAGAAGTTATTTAGTTACCCAAAAATCATTCAAACCACTATGTAATCAAACAGATATTAGAATCCTACAATCATTATTGCTCGAGAAAAGTGTGATTATTGTTGAAGTTCTAATTTTATAGAAGATCAGACACTCAATTTTATTAGATTTATATTATGATAAGAAAACACAGAGTTATTATTCATGGAGAGTTACACGAAAGATTTCTAAAGGTTTTGGACAACTCTACTCTGTAAGTACTGAATTTTCAGCAGTGTCACATATCCAAAATTTTGGAGATGCATCCACGTCTAGCGCGGGAGATGCGGCATTTACTGCGAGAGATGTGAGTGTGGGTGTGGGGGGATGTGCATCTCTAAATGAGATGATACATCTCCAGTGGAAAATGACCGCGTCTCCCGCGAGAGATGCGGCATCTCCTGTGAGAGATGTTGGCGCATCTCCAAAATTTTGGATATGTGACACTACGCTGAATTTTATAGTATTGACTGCAGTTTAACACAATCCGCTATTTTTCATGAATATACATATACACAATTCCAGATTTCTATGAACCAATTCATATTTTTTATCATTTTTGGAAAAATTTCGTAAACAAAGGTTTAAATAATTCTTTTTCTTTTTCTGTAAACAGATATTGTCAAAGTAATTCCGCTCATTTCATTAAATATTTATTTTGAAAAATAAAAAAATTATTTTGTTAATATTTTTAAAACTTACTATTTGTCCACCTGTTGGATCATAAAAATGTTCAAGTAATTGAATAATTGTACTTTTTCCACAACCAGATGAACCAACAAGAGCAACTTGTTCATCTAAATTAAACAAAATTTAGATATATATTTTCCTACAGGAAAAAAAATAACCGATTCTTTCATACAAGGTGCAATTTTTAAATTGAATTTTTTTAAAACTTGTACTTCTTGTCGATTTGGATAATGAAAATCCAAATTATTTAAATCAATTTGACCATTAAAATTTTTCTATTAAAAAAAAAGTAAAAAGAATACAAGAAAATCAAATATATTTTAATATTATTATTGTACTAGTTCTTTTCCAACAGTCGAAGAATTGTTAATTGTTGGTCTACGATTAAATAGAATCAAAATTTTTTTTGATGATGCCTAAATCATCAACACAAGTTGTTTTTTTATTATTATTATTTAAATTCAAACATACGATTGCTTTTGAATAATCCGGTGACATTGATGCAGTTTGACCAACCTTTATGAAACAAAAAAAAAAATAAAACAATAAGATTTAAATATATTCATTTTTTATGAATTGACTTACAGCCATTGCACCGAAAAGTATACAATTCATTACACTAAATTAAATATAAATAATGTATTTATATCTTTATGAATAAATTTTATAGATTTACAGCATAATATTTTCAAAGCTAGAAAATAAAAATTTGATTTAATATATTTTTAAAAAAATAATAAATAATAACTTACGTCATTGCTCCTTGTTCCACTCTCCAAGCACCAAAAGTAAATAAAGCTGCTTGTGCAAAAAACATAATCTTTAAATAATGAAATCAAAATTATGAAAGTTATATTAATAAAAAAAAAAGAAAAAAAAAACGAAATCATACCGAATCACTAATACTGAATAAAATGCCATATATATGTGCACGTTTTAAACTATTTCTATAATAAATAAAAATAAGAATATTTTTTTTTTAAATTTTTCTTTTTCTTTCTTGACACATACCTAAAAGGAAATTCAAGTAATTTACAATATTCATCACCAAAATGTTTTTCTTTTGTTAATTGTGCAACTGTTCGTATATTTGATATGGCTTCAACAGCAATCTATCATAGAAAATTCTTAATTCATGCTACAAAAATCTTGTCACAAAATTTTCACTTAATTTCATAGCTTCAAAAAGAAAGCGTTGATTTAGAGCTATACGTAGTCAGTTAGAATCTTTCTGAATATATATTGTAATTTGTAAGAGCAGTTTTTTTTATAGAAAAAACACTTAGATAAGATTTCCCTTATTCTAATAGCTCATTTTGTAAATATACAGTTATGAATTTTTTCTTTTTACAAAAAATACTAATAATTATTCAATTTTATCCGATTAGAAATTAGAAAAAAATTTTAATTCTAACTAATTACATTTGATTCTAATCAATTGTTTTTAATAATCGAAAAATAAGCGAATATTTTTTTTTCTATCAAGATTTTCGTATTATAGATTATTTCAATTCTTAGTTTTTTGTTTTTTTTTTGTTCTTTTAATTACTAACCTTTCCTGCATCTTCTAAAGCTTTTTTATCCTATAACATAAACAAATAGAATATTTTTATTTCAAATTTTTTCTTTTTTTAAACAAACTTTATTTGCAAATCCAGTCATTAAATACATTTGTAAAAATCCAGCAACAATCATAAATGGTACAAAAGCTAACATAAGTAATGTTAATGACCAACCATAAATAAATGCTAAAATTATTCCAACACCAAGATTTGCTATATTTTGTAACATTGTTCCAATTCGAATACCAGTTGCCTAAGAAAATACAAAAAAAGAGAAATTTTCTTTTTTTCAATACGAAAAAAAGAAAATCTTTACTCCTTGAACATCAGATGCTTCTGTTGCAAGACGTGTACATAAAGCACCTGTATTATTTTCTGGTTGATCAAAATAAGTAATATCTTGTTTTAATAATGTTTGAAAGATTTTTGCACGTAAACGTTGTGTTAAATTTTCACCCGATATGGCAAAGAGAAAACTCTTAATGAAAATTACTCAAATATAATTTTTTGTACAATTAATTCTACGTTTAAATTAACAAAATTTTCTTTTTTTTTTCTAACAATATATTTACTTGAAAAAACATAGTAAAAAGCATTAGAAAACCGAGACCCATAAAGAGTAAAACATACATTAATATTCGACGTTCTTGAACATTTTTATCACACATTTGAAAAACCTTAATGAAAGAGTCAAAAAAAAAAGAAAGAAACATCTGGAATTTTTAAAGTATAATAAAATAACTTACTGCAATAACTTTACTTAATATAACACCAAATGCTGGTTGAATACCTTAAAAATAAATTCAATTATAAAAATAAACAAAAAAAAAAATTCATTATCATACCTCCATTGCAGAGACATGAAAGACAAGCAAATATAATAATGGTTAATTCTGGTCGATTCATTTTAAGCATTGTAAAAAATGGAGAAGGTCCAGTATACTAAATAAAAATATATTCTTTTTCTTTAATTAATAGCAGTGTCGATGGAATGATAACAAATATGTGCAAATGTGACTGTGCAACAACAAAAAATGAATTAGAATTTATTACATGATTTAAAGACTGTTCATTCTGTTTAAGAAATATTGTGGTCTTGAAAAAGAAAAAGATATTAAATATATTTGTGTTTGTGTCAACAAACAATTATTATACTCGAATATCTTACATATTTTCTTTTTCTTTTCACTTACTAATATCTTTTACTGTAGTAGGCAAATGATTATGTATTAACTTTGTTATTTTATAAGAATGAATAAGATAAATTTACCTCTGTTGTTGTATCTATTTGATTGGTTTTGTCGGTCATTTCGATTTTTTCAGCTGATGTATCGGTTCCACGTCGAAGATGATCACTCATCGTTCTTTTTCGATCATAAGTATAAATTGCTAAATGAAAAGAAACTTCTTTTTGAGTTTGATTTATTCTTGTTTCAATATAGTCTTGGGGGGAAATTCGGGAATGCGGAGTATAGATAATGTAATAGTTTAATTTTGATGCGGTAGATTCGATAGGTTTTCTTTTGAATCCGATAATGCATCGTTTCTTTTTTTTATTTCTCTTGTTTTTATTAAGAGAAAATTTTTTCCATACCTGGTGTGTCATCATCTTCATCTATTTTTCCATCCTTCTCATCCACATGTAAATTTTGTGCTTCAACAAGACCATAATAAACACCTCTTTCATCCATTAATGTTTTATGATTTCCTTAAAGAATCATGTTATTAAAATATTTATTTCATTTATTTAATACATTTACCTTCTTCAATTACTGATCCTTTATCAAGAACTACTATTTTTGATGCACTTACAATAGTTGATAAACGATGTGCAATTACAATTGTTGTACGTCCTTTCGATGCACGATCAAGAGCATCTTGTACAACACTTTCACTTTCTCTATCAAGAGCACTCTATAATAAAAATATGATAACATCAAATCTTATAAACAATCAAATTCATTATTTCATTTGCTTCTTACTGTTGCTTCATCAAGTAAAAGAATACGAGGATTACGAATAAGTGCACGAGCAATAGCTATTAAATATTATTTAAAATGAACAAAAAACAAAAGGACTCATCTTTTTTTCACTAATCATCATACCTATTCGTTGTTTTTGACCCTAGACAACAACAAAAAAAACATAAATAGATTAAACAAACTAAATTCTTAAAAAAAACTACAATATCATACTCCACTTAATTGTGCACCACGTTCACCAACAAGTGTACCATATTTATCTGGTAATTCCATTATAAAATCATGTGCATTAGCCATTTTAGCTGCTTGTTCAACTTCATCTTGTGTTGCATTCATTTTTCCAAAAAGAATATTTTCTTTGATTGTTGTTTGAAATAAAATTGGTTCTTGTGATACAACACCAATATGTTCTCGAAGCCAACCAAGATTATATTGACTAACTTGCATGTCATCAATTTCAACTGAACCATCAATTGGATCATAAAATCTTTGTAATAATTGTATACATGTACTCTAAAGTAAATCAATGAGTTTTTTATTTTTTGTTAAGAATTTTATGTTAAATTGAATTATTTACTTTTCCACAGCCAGAAGAACCAACAAGTGCTGTTGTTTGACCACTTTGTGCTGTAAATGAAAGTCCAATAAGAACAGGAACATCAGATCGAGATGGATAAGAAAAATGAACATTAGTAAATTTTATATCACCAATCAAATCTTCTTTTTTAACACCATCAGGATGATTTATGGTGATTTTTGATGGCTAAATATAAGAGATAATCTTATTTGAAGTAAATTATTGTATGATTTTTACTGTATCAATAATATTCCATAATGTAAAAGCTGCGCCTCGAGCCTGCGCAACTGATTGAAGATGAGGAGCTGCTTGACCAAGACCAAACATTGCTGTAATAAGTGAGAAAAATACCTAAATAGAAATTAAACAGATAAAAGCATGGAACTATCCAATGATAGACTATATTACAATAAGAATTCCACCAATTGAAAAACCTTCATCACGAACAAGTTTAGCTCCATACCAAAATCCCTATCAAATAAAAGAAAATATTTTAATATATTGAACAATAATCAATTATACCAAAGCATATGTGCAAAAAATCAAACAAAAAATACCACCCATTAACATTCCATTTAATCCGCCTTTACGAATACCACTTAGTTTTGCTGATCTTAGATGTTTTTCATATCTATGAAAAATACAACACTATATTTTAAATATTTATTAATTAATGATGGTTTTGTTACCTTTTTGATTCATAAGTTGCACCATTGTATGCAAAAACAGTTCGTATACTACTTAAAACTTCTTCAGCAATAGCTCCAGCTTTTGCATATGCTTTCAATTCTTGTGATGTCATTGTTGCTGTTATCTACAAGGACATATCGAAATAAAATAAATAATGTTAATAGCTTCATTGCTTTTTTTTCTACTACGTACTCGTGTAAAAATAGCTGCACTAACAACAACTATTGGACCAAGAGAAAGTAGAACTAATGTTAATTTCCATCCTTTAATAAATCTAAATAAAAAAGAAAGTAGATAATATTAAATAAAATGTTTATATCTGAGAATTTAATTCGATATACCCTAGTATAATACCAGCAATAGATGAACCAATAAATTGTAATGCTGAACCAACTTTATCACCTGTACCATCGTGTACTTTATTAACATCTTCTGTTAATCTTGTACTAAGTTGACCTGTTTTATGTGTATCAAAATAAGCTATATCTTTATTAAGTATTGATCGAAAAAGTGTTTCACGAAGACGACGTGTTTGACGTTCACATGCAATAGACCAAAAAGTGACTTGAAAATATCCTATTACAATTATTGCACATCCCATAACTAAAATTAAGCAATAAACAAAATAAATTAATTAAACAAATATTTAAATAAATAGTATTATGATACTTACTAGCAAGCCACATAGATTGTTTGCGAATGTTTGCCATGAAATTATCATTTATTGGTGTAAAATTTTCTTGTGGAAAGTTACATTTTCTACGTATATCAAACCATGTTATCATATAGATTAAAATAAAAATGACAATATAACATACTGATATTCGTTACGAAAATTTTTATTTGTAAGATGAATATTTTCAGGACAAAAGGAATTAAGTAGCGTAAAATTTAGTTGACATAGATCAAAGGATCGATCAGTAAATACATCTACTAAATTGCCGAAGACAAGTAACACTAAAAATAAGTATAAAATAGTATCTTGAAAAACATTTGAAATGAATTTTAATATCGAGCGGATACAGGAAAAGTGTGCATTTTTGGCGACCAATCAAGGAGGAAACGGCAGACTTGAAGTACATCAAAGTACTTTAAAATTATAGAAAAGTACTGTAAAGTAGCTCGAAGTATATTTAAATAGTGTAAATTATCTTCAAGTACAAAGTCTTCCGTTTCTCCCTTGCGACCAATACAGATACCGTCCTAAGTAGATTATACTTAACGGGTCGACCGATCGGTAATTGGTATCAATGCCATCTCTCTGATGGGAACTTCTTCTCCTTGATTTGTAACGATAGAAATTTTCTTTCATGATAAAAATGATCGATCGAAATCATTTAAGAAATTTTTCGGCATAGTTATATGTTTGAATAAGTATTTTTTTTTGCATCAAAACTTACTTAGAGGAAATGCAGCCCCATGTGCCAAAGCTAAATAAAATATATGTTAAAGATGAATCAAAAACATCAACAGAAAAATATATGATCACAATATTTACCAGCAAATGTACCAATCATTATACAAAGAATGTCGATTTTATTAGCAAAGCGAAACTAGAAAAAGTATAATTTATTAATATTGAAATTTAATAATATACAGAGTGTTCTGAAGTCTGTCGTCGGAAAAATATGAATAATTCTTAAATAATTTAAGTTATACATATGAGTTCTATATCATTTTATTCAATTTTCTTTATTAAAGTTTTGTTTTGCATAATTTCATTTGCGTTCACTGTTCAAAATGAAACATGTAAATTCAATGTTTTCAATATTTTGAAAAATAAAAGATTCAACGAAATTTTCATGAAAACGATTGCATTCTTTTTCTTTTTCTAATTTAACTTTATTGTCGAAATATGAAAATACCTCATTTTCTTGAACTAATTACTAAGTTTTATCATAATTCTGAATACAACTGAAACAATAATTCTAATAATTAGAACATTTTCTGTCTATACACTTTCACTAATAATATAAATTACATGAACTTCTTCTGTCATTATTAGAGGACATTCTGAATGTAGATGATCTATTTAGATATTAGTCTCATAAAAGTGTTTAGAGATGACTTTAATACTATTTTCATTCATAGTTTTCATGTCAAATTTAACTGCCATAGTCTGTTTTACAAGCGTAGGTGACTAAAATTCGGACATTAATAAAATTGTTTCGATTCTAATGTTTACAGGCATATGTATTTGATCTGAACTATGTTAAATAAAATTTACAGAAACATCAAAATGAAATTCTAGAAAATTCATATAAATCACTTTAACTGTTTCAGAGTTATGCATAGGTTTTTAGTTCGACAGACTTTTGGAACACCCTATATACATATAATTAATGTATTGTCATACTAGACTCGCAAAGCTAACAAGTTCTGCAGAACTTTTTTTTTCTTTTTTAATTTTATTATCTTCATTTTTAAAAATTTCTTTGATTTTAAAACTAAAATTAAATATATAAAAATATAGATATAATACAAAAGAATATTTTTTTTTATAAACATACTTTGAAGGTGATGCTTTAGCAGATCCATCATTGATAAGACTTGTTCGCATTTTATTAGGCATATTAACATCATCAATAAAATATATTTGACGATGACTAATATCATAAGAACTTCTTCGACCCATTATTAAATCGAACTAAAAATATACAATTGAATAAATATTTTCCAATTATTAACATGTATTTTTTTAATGTTTTTTTAGAACATCATTTGATAAGAAAACTCATGGCCCTTGTACACTTTAACGGGTCAAGCCATTTGATTAGTGACAGAACGAGCAAGAGAATGAGAGTAAGAAAGTTGATCGCAATCAGATGCTTTGGAGAGGTAAAGTGTAAACGTATCGATAAATTGCAATAAAGATAAAATGAAAATTAATTGTAAAAAATCACATGTTCTATAGGCCCCTGATTCTACTATATAGTGAAGAAAAATGAATGATGTAATGTAAGAACAGATAGAAATGAAGAAAAACAGTTTAATATTATCAATAGAACATATAAATTTAATCGATGTTCTTTTCATCAAACATTGATCGAAATCATCTTAAATATGAATTAAGAATTTTATTGGAATTATGAAGAATGTATTGACTACATTTATGAAAAGATTAACTTGATCATATTTTTATTCTATTTGTAATTATTTATTTGTTAGTTAATTCAATACAATGAAAGAAAAACAAATAATAGATAGATGAGAAAAGAAAATATTTGAATTGAATACTAATTGAAAATTAATAATACAATGTTTACTTATAACAATATCAAACGTATGTAGACGCAACTACATTCTCTTTATTTTAATTCTATTTTCACTAATACTTATTTTTCATCTTTATTTAAAAGAACGAATTATGTTTCGAGAGTTACAATTGTTATAAATTTATTTGTTTTCTTTATTCTTAATATATAATTGGGTACAAGAATATAGAAAACAATGTTTTATGTATGATTCAGATTCTTTTATTCGTGTTATCCTCAGTTACTTTAGTTCAATGATTTTATTGGTACAGTGTAGTCATGTATGAATCATCGAATAATATCTGTATTCTACATAGGTTTAAATATTTAAGATAATAGGTCACTTTCTTTTATTATGATTCAAAGGAAATCCTAAACTTTTACAAAAAAGAAAAAATACTAATAAGAAGAAAAACAACAATGAACTAGTAATTACTCTTATAATAATCTTAAGTCTTGTTCACAAAATTAACAAACAACAATCTATAAACATGACTAGAAAAAACGAGTAGAAAAAAAAAAGACGAAGGATCGTTCTTTTGTAAATGCTACAGATGGCGATCTTTACATTTTTTATTTTTCCTTTTCTTTTCTCCTCGTTTTTTTCTAGTCATATATCTACACTGTTGTTTGTTTGTTTTTTTTCTGAGAGAAATTTATCATTACTAGTCCATTGCTCGTTTTCTTCTTGTTGTTATTTTTGTTTAAAATTCATAACAAATAAAGTCTACTACTGGTAGAGAATAATTGGAATATCAATGTTTATTAATACAAAAAAAAAATTAGCATAACGTAATTCTAGATTTGCATTATCAGCTACTATAATTATTTTCAATATTCAAGTTAAATCAATCCGAAGGCAAAAATCTAATTCAAACTAAAAATATATTGCATACAATAGTTAAACATTTATTTTGGTAAATTTTCAATATTGTTTTATTGTTAATTTTTGTATTTCAATCAAACATAGGGATTTGATGAGATCCTAAGAAAACAGTACATGTCTCTCTTGGCATGCTTTATGTCAGTGAGTGAACTGTTATTTTCAAAAAAAAAAAAAACTTGTGATTCATACTCTAGTCTTACTTTTTATGGTTGTTTTCAGCATATAAAAATAAACTCATAACTCATCATGTTCTTCCTTATATAGTTAGATTATTATGGATGAGAAAAAAAAGGAAGACAACGATATCTTAATATTATTTTAAAAGTACATAGACTTTGCATTTATAATTACTATAATGTTGTATAGTGTCGAATTATCAATCCTTTTTATATCATATCAAGCATTCAATGATGAAAATATTATCATTATAACTGAATATAGACTTTTCATGTATCTATTTTTTCGTACTAAATTTCATCATCATCAAAAGTAAATTTGCATCATAGTTTAGAAAATTTCAGATCTAATGTTTTAATAGTCAATGTCGATTACAAAACTGAATACTTCAACTCGTAGTTTGATTAGGTATGTCCGTAATAACAGTCAGTGTACTACAAGTGGAAATATCGTTTCATCGAGACTTAATTATTTTTTATATCAATCCAATGAAATAAAAATTATCAGGTAAAATTTAAGCGATCAGTATGCTAGAATATAATAAAAGCAGTAAATCAAATGATTGATCAAGAAACCGGATGATTGATCAGCAAATAATTTCAATGATCAGTTGTTAATTAAATAAGTCTGTAAATATAACTAAATCACAATAAATAAAATATAAAGATGTTTATAGAAATTTCCATGTGTTATAGTATTATTTAAATAGATGAAATAAATATTGCAAAAGAAATAATCGAAGATATTGAAATATGTTAATTATCTAATTATATATAAGTGTATTTAAATTTGCGTCAAAATTAATTATGAAGAAATAGAATATGAAAAACAAAGAAGTAGATCAGTCAAAGTTAAATCTATTTTGCTAGTACGATAATTTCATTTTCCCTTTCCTCTTTTCTCAATTGTTCTTAGGATTCTATTAAATGTTCTTTCGGTTTTTTTTCTTATTTATTCAAATTTCTTTTTCTCATAGTATTGTACGTAACACAGTTCAACGTTTTTTTTTTGTCTTACTAATCAAATCTCTATATTATACTATTCAAATTAGTATTTATTACTGAAATAAATTTTATATTTCACTGTTACTTATATCTAATAAACTGATCATTTTATTATTATTTACTGATTATTATAGTAGTGATCGTTTAATCTATTATACTGATCATATATGTTGTTTCCTAAATTATTTATATATACAATGAAAACCTTACTGTTTTTTTTATTTTGTCCATTTTTCTTTAAACCACATCATGTGTAGTGCATAAGGACTATCGTTTTCATTTCTATACAGAATTTGGAACAAATTTAATTTTTTTAAATAACAATAGATTTCTCATTCTTTGTGATATATTTATAATCATAGTTCTTCTAAAAATTATAATATACAGTGGTTTAGTTGAAAAATTGTCTACATTCTTTTATTAATTTTCAACTTCTCGTCTGATGCATATATGTAAAGAATAAAATACTTATCTTATTGTTAATAATATTTTTTATCTAACAGACTACGGTCGTAGAAGTATTTTGTTCTTTATTCGTGTATGCTGAAAAAATTTCATTATACAGTGCGTTAAAGTTGAATAGTGTCATGTATGCAAAAGACAACATAAGAATGTTGCTAATAAGTGAGATTCGAATTTAAAAAATATCTACAATTTTTTATATATTTCTGTTAATTTCTTCCAGAGAGTTGATCAGAATATTCAAACTTGTCAAAGACAGAAGTACGATTAACGAAAAAATTACTTTTCTCATCATTTTTCCATGTGCTCTATGCATATTCTTTTCTTGTTTTCATAAAAATCCGATTCATTATTTTTTTGTTTATTCATAACTGTTACAGATAAAAATAAAAGCAAGCTAAAATTTTTGATTATAGAAATGTCTTTTTTTTTTATTTATGAATCCAATGTCAATGACGTGTTTGTGCTAAACGATAATAATATCCTTTGCGAGTTAATAATTCATCATGTTTGCCAGATTCAACTATATTACCACGACGAAGAACACAAATACGATCAGAATTTTGTATTGTTGATAAACGATGAGCTATAACAATAGTTGTACGACCTTTCGATACTTGATCAAGTGCTTCTTGTACTATACGTTCATTTTCTGTATCAAGTGCACTCTAAATCAAATTAGAAATCAAGCGAGATGTATATATATATATGAATATGTAGTGATTACTTACTGTTGCTTCATCAAGTAATAATACTTTTGGATTACGTATAAGTGCTCGAGCAATCGCTAAAACAAACATAAAATACAAATTTTATTTTTGTAAAAAAGTTTGATTTTGTTTTTTTTTACCAATCCGTTGTTTTTGACCACCTGATAATTGTGTCCCTTTTGAACCAACATTTGTTTCATATTGTTGTGGTAAACTTATAATAAAATCATGAATATTAGCATTTTTCGCTGCTTCTTGAATTTCATCGAAAGGTACTTCTCTTGATGTATCACCATAAGCAATATTTTCTTTAATTGTTGCATCAAATAAAATTGGTTCTTGACTAACAAAACCAATTTGACTTCTCCACCATTGAAGATTTAAAGTTGATAATTCATTTTCATTAATTAACTAAAATATATTTTTGTTTTGTTTTATAATTAATATTTAGAATAACAATTCTAGAAGTACTTAAATAGACGAATGTAGTTAACTGTGATATTAAGAATGAATGTCTCAATAATATTCATTTACAAAACTATTTAATCCTTCTATTATGAGATTCGTATATTGAGGGACTAACCTTTCATGTAGATTATTACTTTGACTATGTTGTCTTTTTGTTTGACCATAGAGTATTCTCTCTTTTGCTTTTGCTTTTAGTATAGCAAGAACATTATATGATATTAGTCTACATGTATATCTAGTGAAGAAAAAAAAAGGAATGTGAATTTAAAAATCTATGAGAATCCACAGAAGTTATTTAGTTACCCAAAAATCATTCAAACCACTATGTAATCAAACAGATATTAGAATCCTACAATCATTATTGCTCGAGAAAAGTGTGATTATTGTTGAAGTTCTAATTTTATAGAAGATCAGACACTCAATTTTATTAGATTTATATTATGATAAGAAAACACAGAGTTATTATTCATGGAGAGTTACACGAAAGATTTCTAAAGGTTTTGGACAACTCTACTCTGTAAGTACTGAATTTTCAGCAGTGTCACATATCCAAAATTTTGGAGATGCATCCACGTCTAGCGCGGGAGATGCGGCATTTACTGCGAGAGATGTGAGTGTGGGTGTGGGGGGATGTGCATCTCTAAATGAGATGATACATCTCCAGTGGAAAATGA